CCCTCCTCCCTCAGACCCACAAGTCCAAGTTTTCCAGCCCCTCCTCCCTCAGACCCAGGAGTCCAGACCCCAGCCCTCCTCCCTCAGACGTAGAAGTCCTAATCTTGTACCCTTAGGGGCTCTAGGAAATTAGCCAACCTGTCTTCCCTCCCTGTGGGTGCCCACTCCAGAGCGTGGCTTGGCTGCCAACTCCAGTCAGGGACTCTCAGCCACCCCTCCCCCCAGGTTATTTTATGAGCACCTGCCTGGGCCTGGGATGGCTTCTCTGGTGAAAGAAACACCAGGATTGCATCAGGGAGGAGGAGGCTGGGATGGCCAGAGTCTGAGCATCTGAGCAGGGACAGATGAGGTTGAGGTTGGCCCACGGCCAGGTGAGAGGCTTCCACGGCAGGACACCTGTGTCTTCGCTGTGGTCGCTTCTTTCACACAGCAATTGCCGCCTTGCTGAGGATCAAGGAACCTCAGTGTCAGATCACGCCCTCCCCCCAAACTTAGAAATTCAGATGGGGCGCAGAAATTTCTCTTGTTCTGCATAAATGTGATCTACATAAATGTTCCAAGAGGTGGTTTTTCCAGGAGCCCAGCACCCCTCCTCCCTCCAACTCAGGGACTTGAGACCCCAGATCCTTCTCTCTGAGACTCAGGAATCTGGGCCCCCAGCCCCTTTCACCTGGGTCCCAGCTAAACCGATCCTCCTCTCCCTGGTCCCCTAGACCCAGGAGTCCGGCCCCCCATTGAAAGGACCCCCAGGTTACATCATCCATTCAGGCTGCCCTTGCCACGATGGAATTCTGTGGCTCCTGCCAAGTGGGTCAAATGCCATGGGTCAGGCGCAGGGAGGGTGATTGGGCGGGACTGTCTGGGTATAAATTCTGGAGCTTCTGCATCTATCCCAAAACACAGGAGTGCTCTGTCTGCTGAAGATCCAGTCGAAGAAGGACGAAGGCACTCAGGCCACCTGAGCAGCGATCTGTGAATCTGCTCACCTGGACAGCCGGAATCTGGCACCGATTCTAAACCACTAGCTTCTCCAAGCTCACACCCCGGAGATCACCTGAGGACCTGAGCCATTGATGGACTCGGACGAGACCGGGTTCGAGCACTCAGGACTGTGGGTTCCTGTGCTGGCTGGTCTTCTGCTGGGAGCCTGCCAGGCACACCCCATCCCTGACTCCAGTCCTCTCCTGCAATTCGGGGGCCAAGTCCGGCAACGGTACCTCTACACAGATGATGCCCAGCAGACAGAAGCCCACCTGGAGATCAGGGAGGATGGGACAGTGGGGGGCGCTGCTCACCAGAGCCCCGAAAGTGAGTGTGGGCCAGAGCCTGGGTCTGAGGGAGGAGGGGCTGGGGGCCTGGACTCCTGGGTCTGAGGGAGGAGGGGCTGTGGGTCTGGACTCCTGGGTCTGAGGGAGGAGGGGCTGTGGGTCTGGATTCCTGGGTCTGAGGGAGGAGGGGCTGGGGGTCTGGACTCCTGGGTCTGAGGGAGGAGGGGCTGGGGGTCTGGACTCCTGGGTCTGAGGGAGGAGGGGCTGGGGGTCTGGACTCGTGGGTCTGAGGGAGGAGGGGCTGGGGAT